ACATAAATGGAGTGCACTCTGTTCATTTTTCTTATTGCTGCTTACATTAGCATTGATATGGTCCCTGCATCAGTTAGAAGTGCTTTGGCTGCAAGTAACAAAACCTAGCACAAGTGTCTTAAACAATTAGACGTTTTTTTCTCAGAAAAGAAATCTTGAGGTAGGCAGTTTCTAGCTTTGGTTCGACAGTTCAATAATATTGGAGTTGGTGGTTTTTTTATATTCTTGTCTTTTCTTTCATGTTTGAGACCTTAGGGCTGAAAGATAACTTACACAGCTCCAGATATCTTGGTTGCACTTAAGTCAGGAGGAAGGAGGTAGAGACTGTACTGCATGTCTGTTTCCTTTTATTAGAAACAAAAAGTTTTCCCAGATGCCTCTCATAGACTTTCACTGATGAAAACTGGCCAGAACTAAGTCATGGCCACCCCTAGCTACAGGGGGGAGTTTGAGAAAACAAGTGCTTAGCTGGCCATGTTGCCTCCCCAAACACATATCTCCCTTCTCTTGGTAATGAAGAAGGGAGAACGGATATTGAATAGATAACTAGTGTTTTTTTCCATTCCCTGTTACTGTTACCTGGCAGCTTTACTTGAATGTTCTGCATTAAGGAGAGCTTTTAGTTTGAAAATGAACTCTTTATTGATTTGTTAATAACCTCCTGCTTTGGCTTGATTCTGCATTATTTTCAGTAGCAGTGTATGTTTTTCTAGTATTCATGGTAGATGAAGTGATATCAGCTCAATTCCATGGGAGTAAGGAGGTTCAGGACTCCTTTAATCTTAACAGTTAAATTCACCAGTTTTTGAGTACCTCTTATGTGCTTAGTGCTGCCACGAAAGGTTATAAATTGGCTACAGAAGAATTATGTGATTTTTTTTTTTTTTATCCTCAAGTTTATTGGTTCTTTAGGGAGAAGAAAATTCTGTGTAGTGAGAAAAACATTCTGTGTATGAAATAATTGGTTAACAGTATAAGAACTCAGAATTATTTGTTAAAATGCTTACTATGTGAACTGAGTGCCATGGTAATTAGAAACTTTTCTTTTCGGGCTACTGATGGATGCATGGGAGAAATAACATGAAGGCCAAGTGGAAACAAAGTGCCATTTAATTTGTCCTTTGGACTAATCTTTCCCTTGTGTCTTTGGTCTTCTTCATTCTCCTTTACTTCAGCCGGGATGGGACCAGTAGATGTATCTTAGGTGACTGCTTACAGACTTTGAAGACCGTAGTTGCTGCTCAGAGCATCTTTGTTGTATGCACTGCTGTTTCTCCAACACTCAGTGCCTGGCACAAATATTTTAAAAACCAAAAAACAAAACCTGTTGCCATCCAGTCAATTCTGATTCATAGCAACTCTATAGGACAGAGTAGAACTGCCCCATAGGGTTTCCATGGAATGGCTGGTGGATTTGAACTGCTTACGTTTTAGTTAGCAGCCAAGCTCTTAACCACTGCGCCACCAGGGCTCCATCTGAACACTACAGTGATTAGTATTTTGATGTCATTTACTTAGTCATTCTAGTATCTGTTAAGTACCTGTTATGTGCCAGCAGAATTTTGCTTAAGATAATTTAGAAAACGGCTGCAGCAGGGACCTGCCACAAGTTCAGAAGAGGTCATAGAATGAGGGATATTATTCCTGATGTCAGATGGATCTTGACCAAAAGCAGAGAATACCAGAATGATGTTTACCTGTGTTTTGTCAACTACAGGAAGGCATTCAACTGTGTGGATCATAACAAATTATGGATATCATTGCAAAGAATAGGAATTCCAGAACACTTTATTGTGCTCTTGCAGAACTCTACATGGATCAAGAGGCAGTTGTTAGAACAGAGCGAGGGGATTACTGCGTGGTTTAAAATTGGGAAAGGTGTGTGGCAAGGTTGTTTCCTTTCACCTTACTTATTCCATCTGTATGCTGAGCAAATAATATGAAAAGCTGGGCTATATGAAGAATAACCCGTCATCGGGATTGGAGTAAGACTCATTAACAACCTGAGATATGCAGATGACACAACTTTGCTTGCTAAAAGTGAAGCTGACTTGGAGCACTTACTGATGAAGATCAAAGACCACAGCCTTCAGTATGGATTACGACTGAATAGTAAGGAAACAAAATCCGTAGAACTCGACCAGTAAACAACATCATGGTAAATGCCAAAGAAATTGAAGTTGTCATGGATTTCGTTTTACTTGAATCCAAAATCAATGCCCATATGGAAGCAGCAGTCAAGAAATCAAACGACACATTGCATTGGGCAAATCCGCAAAAAAAAAAGACCTCTTTTAAAGAGTTTAAAAGCAAAGATGTCACTTTCAGGACTTAGGTGCGCCTGACCCAAGCCATGGTATTTTCTGTCGCCTTGTATGCATGTGAAAGCTGGACAATGAAAAAGAAAGACAGTAGAAGAATTGATGCATTTGAATTGTGATGTTGGCGAAGAATATTGAATATACTGTGGACTGCAAGAAGAACGAATAAATCTGTCTTGGAAGAAGTACATTCAGAATGTTCCTTAGAAGCAAGGATGGAGAGACTTAATCTCATTTACTTTGGACACGCCATCAGGAGGGTCCCAGACTAGAGAAAGACATCATGCTTGGCTGACGGTCAGCTAAAAAGAGGGAAACTGTCAATGAGATGGATTGGCACAATAGCTCTGACAGTGGGCTCAGATTTAGCAGCGATTGTGAAGATGGCGCAGGACCAGGCAGTGTTTCATTCTGTTACAGATAAGATCACTGTGAGTCAGAGCTGACTTGATGGCACCTACCAACAACAACAATGTGCCAACTACTGTTCTGAGATTTAAAGAACAATAAATGACTATCCTTTTCATGAAACTTAAATTCTGGTGGAATGAAAATCTAGTTTGGAAATAAACATAACAAACACGATCACCAGAATTATTTTAAAACCATACTCCAGCGCATCTAAAAAATAAAATTTGCACTACAATGCATGAGTCTTGTGTACAGCAAAGCGCACCTGTTTTGTTTAAAGCTTAGTGTTACAGGTTGGTTGTCGTCATTACTTTAGTCTTCTTCTGTCTGGAAGTCTTCATTTACCCAGGTTATTTCCCCAAAGTTCTAATTTGGAAATTAGAACCATTTTTTGTTACAGGAACAATGCTACAGGTTATTAAGATTTGTAACTAGTTCACAAAAGCTTGCGTTACTAAAATATATGTATACAATAAAAATAGAAATTGTTGCAGTGGAGTATTATGTGATAATTGAAAGAAACAGAGCAGAATCTTATCTATGGTCTAGTGCTCCCAAGTCTGGTGCGTGAGGAAGAAAATATCTAGTTAAAGGAACTGAGGAAGTAGATGGAGATTAACACGGAAACTCTGGAAAGGGCATCTTTCGAGGGCTTCAGGGGTTGATGGCACAAGTTCTCAAGCTTACTTTTACCTTAAAACATTGATTTTCCTTTTTCTGTGAGTGTATAGGTAATCCCAGGGTTATGGAATTTCAACTTATGTACAACCCGTAGTTACAGACCAACCCCATAAAGCCTATTACATTAAAAATTCGAGGTACATACAGTGGTTTGTAATAACAAATAGGCACTACTTTGCAACGTGCATCAAAACTCATAGTGACCCTACAGGACAGAGTGGAACTGCCCCATAGGGTCTCCAAGGAGTGGCTGGTGGATTCCAACTGCTGACCTTTTGGTTAGCAGCTGTAACTCTTAACCACTGCGCTACCAGTGCTCCTTATTAGTATTATTACTGTATTATTATGTTAAAGGTGTTTTAGTGTATCTGAAAGTGTTCCTTTAATGTTTTTTATGCATAGAAAGGTATACTATATACCATATACTAAGACAAACATTTGACTAACTGATGTTAGATACAGACTGTACCTAAGTGTTCGGGTATACAAATTCAATTTAAAGACAGATTTAGGAATGGAACTTGTTTGTAATCCGGGGACTGCCTGTATTACAAAGTAGCTGCTTTTATTTATCAGTTAAAATCAGGATTGTTTTGACCTACAGGTAGGGAGGGTGAGAGAAACAAGGCACATTTTCCTGGACAAAAAGTTGGGAGAAAAGAATAAAGAGGTTGGAAAAGTTTGTGTGCATGATGTGGGAGAGTGAGAAGGCTTCCTGGAGCAGGAGCTAACAGCCAAGGAAGGGTCAGGGAGCCTGGCACCGCACCTTTGAGCACGTGTGGGGAGGAGGAAGCTGAACTCACCTGGATGGTGTCCATGCAGGATGATCCACAGCCCTGTTCATCACTCTAGTGCCCTGGTGTTTAATAAGGCTAGAGGTGTGTGTGGTTTGTTGTACCTTTATTGAACATATTGAGTACTTTACTCATTTAGTCAGACATTCATCAAGGGCCAGTCTAGCTGTTTCTTCAGACACATCCATTTGAATTAGTGTTAGCAGCATAGTGTAGAAAGAAGTTTGGAATCCATATTCCCCTTGGATTTCTCACTACATAGTGATGTCGCCTTGAGCAAGTTACCAGAGTATGCACATCTGGTAAATGGTGCCATTAGCTGCCCCACCTGCTTCCCGGGATGTGGTGAGGATCACGTGTGATGGTGTGTTAAGAGCATATGGAAGAGTTCAGTCCTTTATGACCGTAAGGCAATACTATTACTCCCATTTTATATGACAGCCACTTATGCAAAATACCTCATTTCTTTCTGAACACTGAGTTGGACTTCAACACTTGATCTTTTTCTTCCCAACATTCTCTTGTTTTCCTCATAAATTTATCTCGTGGGCAAATTCCTTTGAAGTGCTAGATGCATTAGGGTTAAAATTAAAGCGGTCATGTTTTGTTTCTTCAGCGAGACACTCTTAAAACTTGGCAAGTACTGTGTGTTCTCTCATTTCCTTGTCTTTGTGCGTGTTGTATTTTAGCACACATCCCACGGAGATGGGCGTCAAGAAGTTACCTCTCGAACTGGGCGCTCCGGAGCTCGCTGTAGAAACTCTGTAGCTTCCTGTGCAGATGAACAGCCTCACATCGGAAACTACAGACTGTTGAAAACAATCGGCAAGGGGAACTTTGCAAAAGTGAAGTTGGCAAGACATATTCTTACAGGCAGAGAGGTAAATATTGACTGTGCCTATTTCTGTTATACTGTATAGTCCCACGCAAAAGAGAGAGAAGGGGGAAGAGAACGTGTATATTTGAGCTTATTTCTAAGCTAAGTAAACTTTTGTTTTTTTTAAAAGAAAAGAAACCTATTATTTGGGAGTTCTTTTATTTTTTGCACTATTTAATTTATTTAATAATTTAGTTTATTGTTGTTGACTATGTAGTTTTCCCACTACTTTAAATGTTGAAAATGTTATGAGTGTTTGAGTAGTCCTTTAACTTTAAAAATGGGTAGTGGTTTGTTCTTCTTCGGTACTAAATATCTGCCATTACAGTAAAAATTGTTTTTAACTTCATGTATGCACTTACGTGTATAAGCTCGTGATACTTACAAATCAGTAGTATCGTCTGTGTTTACAGATAGAGCCTCAAGATTTCTTCGTCTCTCTAAGTACTACAGCTTGTGTTTGATGGGTTATTGTGCATGAAAGCACATACTGTGTTTTTACACAAATAATGGGCACCTTCTACATTTGTTTGCCAACCGCACCCTCCCCTTGTGAGTATTTTCGTAAGGGCACTATAATAATTTTTTTTACTCACGTGTAAAAAACATTTGGCACAGCAGCGCTTATGAAAATACCTCTCAGGGAGGGCGTGGTTGGCAAACAAACGCAGAAGGCGCCCATTATTTGTGTAAAATATGATACTTTCCTAACTTTTGTGATGTTGGCTCTCTGCTCGGCTCATTCCTTATTTATCAGAAATACATCCATTAAAACCACTAAATTTAACTCTCTCCTGACATGCTGCCTGTACGTTCTAGACCCTAGTTTGGCTCTTTAACGACACCTTGATTTCTCGCCTTTAGGTCTTTGTCTCTGCTCTCCGTCTGCCTGAGATGTGCTTCATTCTTCTCTGTAGACATCACTTCTTCTGGGAAGTTTCCTGACAGACCCCCTTTCCCCAGGCATGGGGCTCACGTTAAAAATCCCAGTACCTCCTTTGTATGGCACATTGTGCAGTATACTGGAATTGCTTATTTTCCTGTCAATCCTTGTTTTAGGCTGGGTTCTCCAGAGCAAAACCAGTGAAGCATATGTGTATATATATATAGAGAGAGAGAGAGAGAGAAATTTACTTCAAGGAAATGGCTCATGCAGTTGTGGAGACTGGCAAACCCCAAATCCCTGAGTCAGGTGACAGGCCGAATGCTTCTCCTGACTCACATGGTTGTGGGAGCTGGTGAACTCAGAACCTGCAGGTCAGGAGGTTGGCTGCTG